ATGTGAACTAAAATTTATCTTGAAATACGATGGAGATGAAAAACGATATACGCGATGAAAAAAAAAAAAAAAAAAAAAAAAAAAAAAAAAAAAAAAGAAAGACGTTGCTCGTGAAGTTGCTTTTACGAAGTGGAGAGGGATCGTGTATATATAGATACAGCTCTGACGTGGTCGGACGTTTCCACGGGCGGAGAGTGAAGACGGTTACAGCGATTTAAAACCAGTCTATGAAAGCCGCGCAACATCCAGGCGAACATAGCGCACGTAGACAGAGAGAGGATAACATTCCAGCGCGTAAAGAGAGGGATCCGTAGTAAATTTAGCGCACTGATCTCATTCTATGGTGAATCCATGGACGAAAATAGCGGAGCGCGGTGAATGTGTTATTAAGGTGCGTTTAGGTCGGGGCCCCGACATGTGCGCGTAATCGGTGGTCAACAGTTACGCACCGCGTAGCTTGAATTCGATTCAATAAGACGTTGCAACGCGTGCCCGCCTCACTTGCGTGTAAATTGAACCGCATCCTTCCTTATGTCACCTTCGTCTAACAATACACATGTACACGTATACAACGTATACCCGCTCAGAAGTCTTATTTTTTTGTATTCAGTACTTATCGTGGACTTATCGTGCATACATATTCTACAATGCAGTATAATACAGTATAAAACAGTATGCAATATAATACAGTAAAATACAACATAATAAAGTATAATAATACAATATATCAATATATTGACAATCTTTATTGTACAAATTATCATCATATTATATTATAATATTCAATCATATTATATTACAATTACATAATTTTGTCTAATTGTATTATATTTATATTTGTTGTAAATACGACGGTTATTATATATTACATATTGCGTGCATAATTTATAGTTTGATGTCTTAAATATTATATTTATTGTATATAATTTATAATTTATATTTATTAATTTAGTTTTTATTACTTTATCATAATAAGATTTCTGAGCGAGGATAGTATGTACGTGTAGAATTTAATTTAAACTGAAAAGAATTGTTGTTGAGTTGTACATTTATCTGCAATGAATAAAGTCTTCAAGTATTGACGAAAAAAAAAGAATCGGGAATCTTATCTTTGATTTAAATATTGTATCATATTACCGGAAATTTATACGTTTTATTAACATAAAACTTCGTACAATATTGGAAGAACAGATATTAGCATCGATTATCATCTTGCTAACTATTAATTTGCAAATTCTTAGATTCTTCCGTTGTGTAACACTACACGGTAACTCGTTCCATATTTGAGGGTTTGAAATGATAGTTACCTGTAAGAAATATGTATTGTTTATTAGAAATTTTATAAATAATTGGACAATTTATTTTAGTCATCACGACTTGTATGCGAAATATTCTGATACGTTGTTCTAGTGATAGATATTTTCATTTGTTTATTTATATTAACATTTTTGTTAACCAACCAAAGTCAGGTACATATATATATATATATATATATACAGCGTCGCAGATGTTTGATTGCAACTGCGTGACAAAGTTTATTAAATGGTGGCAACTTAATCTTCTCGTAAAGCTAATTCTAATCGACGTTTATTTGTCGGTTTCTCGCCGGTTGTGTAGCGTGGATTTTTATGGCGGCGAAATGATCGTCGTGTTTCTCTCTATCGGATATTATATCACACGAAATAAAGGGGGATTATTCGTGTCGCTGAAAATAACGATACGCTGTTTTAACGAGACATTTATTAGCGAGAGAAAGTATGTAAGATATTTCCTTTTATTCGAACCACTTGCAATCGCATTGGCCTGTGAAAAGGGGTTAACAGCCGGCACCTAAACACACCTTTACGCGTAATAGAGGAACCGTGCGTACGCGCATCCGTTCGTTCACTCCTGGAATGAATTTCGAGCCGTGGCGAGTACCGGACTGGCGCACAGATGGCGTTGCCGGCGCGACGCTGATCGAAATTTCGGGAGGACGATGACTAGGTCTCGCTCCCCAGAAACTCTGATCTCATTTTTCTGTCACTGACCTTCCGCGAGCCTCTCGTGTCCACGCGCCACGATCATCATTGCACGGAATTTTGGTCAATTAACCAATCGTACAATTGGCTAGTTGAACCTCGTTTTTAATTTGTCACATTTTTTCCTTACACATATATTAACGTTTGACGAACGGAGTCTAAAAATACCATTTCTCAGACGTGGAAATCTAATATTACACTATTTTTATGACTTAACGACTGAAAATCATGAATAATTAATTTGAATAAATAATGTGAACAAGATTAATTTAAATATCTGTTTCTGTAATTTCGTTAAAAATAATTCAACGCAGTGACAAACAACTACAATTTACACGATAAGAAATTATAGAATATTACAGAGGTATTCCAAACGTGTCAATAGTTCGTGTTTGTCTATATCTAAAGCCACATATACGTGGAAGCGCAGAAGCTTTTGAACTATTGACGATTCTGAGCGTCAGCGATCATCGAACCATATGACATCCTTAGAATGCAAAGTATTGCCCACAATGGTGTAGAGATCCAAAGGAATCCTAAAATGTAGCTATTCAGAGATTCGACTGCTCGCTTTACTCGATTTTATTAGTTTCCTCAGGCGTTACCTTCCGTACGATGTAGGCACCAATGTTACTGTTGTTGATGGCGCTTACGCACGTCACAATCATTACCAGTACATACAGCACAATAATTACCAACGTCTGCATTACGTCACGTTTATACTTGCGGGATACACGCCTTCAGGGAAATCCTACGCGCGTTAAACGTCATTAATGTCCAAGCGTTTCAACACTAAAGCAGGCCATTCTTTTTCCTGAAGTGCCTTTTAAGAATTTTGCTTGCATCTCACACAACGAAATTTTAATAATTCGATACATAAACACAGATTCGCTATTGTGCATAACCTATCTTTATTATGAAAACTATTTAACATAATCAACCTGTCTTATCGTGGAAACTATTGTCTATGTTACATAACCTATCTTTATCGTGGAAACTGTTGTAGAAATATTTTCCATAATTTTTTCGTAATTATATATAGTTCCTTACATTGAAGCTGATATCGTACGAGTCACTATAAATTTGCATACGTTCATTCGAAATGATACGAACCTAAAAATTGTACAGATATTGTTAACTTATTAAGAAGAATTACTTTCGTGAAAATGATCGAATCGATTTACGCCGATGGGAAATGGCTCTCGTCTCCGCTGCAGAGCATCGGGATCAAATAACTGCCAGGTGTTTTGCTATTTCCTCGGGTTACAAGGGGTTCGCGTCTACTAGTTGCGGGGCGATTTCAACGAACATTTCTTAGGTTATGTCTCTCGGTGATCTTACGTACATATTTAACGAGTGAGTAATTCGAGTGTCAAAAGACGCAGTGTACAAAGGCATCACAAAGATAGTATCGGGGAGAAAATTGTCAAGGACGATGAATAATGCTCGAAAAGCGCAACTCTTAAGATTAGAATAATCACGATCGAGAGTGAGCGAACCAGATGGGTTCCTCTGACGCATCCGCGAGGACGCTTGGCTAGAAATAGAGAGTTGATCATGCCCGAAAGTAATCCCGATAGTGAAAAATATTTCCTTTGTCTACGGTCAACATTAACGAGAATAGTTACCGCAATAACACATCTGATCACACAATGATCTCTCCTAAAAGATCGAATAGCGAGTTATATGTTAATCAAACATTTAATGATAGATATGTCTCGTTTACAATTATTAATGAGATTCTCACATGTTGGCCCATGCGAAAGGAAACAAATTTCAGTCCGAAAGATCCTTTCTAGTGTCTATAAGTCGTAATTTAAAAAATTTTCTCCTCGGTGGATAATTTGTCGACAATTTAAAAAACTTCTTATCACGCGATACACGAAAGTTAGAAATTCCCGTTAACTACGGGATTTCATGAATTTAATTGATAATCGATCAAATTTCCAAAAGTCCAAAAAAATTTCTTTCTGATTTCAGTGATCGTCATTTTAAAAAACTTTCGACTCGGTTGATAATTCGTGGCAATTTCGAAAAGAATTCTTACGATGCGAAAGTCGGAATAGAAATTCTTGGTTAATGGCGGTAAAGATGCACTTGCACCTTCGAGTGATGCCAATTTCGGCTCCGAAGGTTCATAGGTCCCGCGAGTGGACACGGGCCCCTTCCTCCTCCGCTCGCGTATCGCAACAAAAACACGGGCATGGCAACAAGGAGAGTGGCGCGTCTTCCCAACCAGCTGGTGGAACGCGTGACGTCACGCTTCTACCTACACCAATGCTACGGCCGTCCTCACTCTCTATCGATACACACTCCACTCTCTCCCCCACCACCCACTTCGCGTTTTCCCCACTGCCAAGATACGGCGGGAACACATACACACGCTGCGTATATACACGCGCACACTGTCGTACGTGGCACGAGGCACGTGTCAGGGCCGTAGTTTCTACTGGTGCGCACTTCTCTCATTGCTGTGGCTTATTGAATCGTCCTGCTATTTATTGACAATCGCGCTAACTGTAAACTGATTGATTCTCTGTCACAGGCGCGCGCGCGTCTTTTTGGACTTTTGCACTCTTGTGACTTGCGTCATGAGAACATTCGTTTGTTCTGAGATTAGGTATTTCAGGAAGATCTGACAAACAAAATGACACATAGGTCGAACGTGTTTGTATATCTTCTTCGATTAGAATTAGCTGTCGAATTCTTATTACCACAATATAAATTGATATCATCGACGATATTTCGATCGTCACCTGCAAATCAACGAAATATATAATATACTAACTTATATTAAATATGTAACATACAGTATATTGTACGATGTTTAAACAAAAAAGTTATTGAGAAAGCGCTGGTTTTACGGTACGATCCTGAATCACAGTAGTGGATATACAAGGAGGTTAGTTGGAGTAGCCGAGTATCGGCGACACGAGCCGATCCGTCCCCACCACTTTGCCGACCGATCTCTGGCTCGAGTCTAGAAAAGTGGTAGAGCCGGCGGTGGTAGGGATAACATCTGCTCTTAGCGTGATTGCCGTGTATTGATGTGGCTTTATGGCGCGCGGCAGGCTGCGGGCAACAAAGTAAGCTTACGGTCGTTAATGTTCCCTACTACGTGAAATTCGAGGCCGCCGGAATATTGCGCCGCGTACAACTCGACGTGCTTCACCGCGTTCCACGCGAGATTCGCAAAGTTACGGCACAGGCCGGCTTCGACAGGCAAGAAATGCGAAGACCGTTCCGAGGATCGGTTTGGCCGGATCCGAAGATGTGTTGTTGGGTCAGCGGTCAGAGTATCTCGGCGAGAACCACCCAATATACATATGGTACAGTCGATATATACTATACACGGGTATATTTGAAGTAAAAAGTAATTGAAATACTTTTGTGAAAATAAACCATACTGTTTGAAAGTTTATTTTACGTACAGGTTGGCCAAAAAGTAGCTGCATTCTCCTGCGTGCAAATGAATAAATTTTTGCAGAATAAATGAAGTTAGCTCTACATTTTAAGATATACATATATGTGTTAGAAAAAAATTGATTATTTTTTGACCAACCTAATATGAGTATATTGATATAACTTGGTGAAAAGAGGTTATATAATGATCCACTTGCGATCGTTTTAAAGCGTGAACGTTTCTGCTTTAACAGTCAAGATTCATTTTTTTTTCTTTTTTTGAAGATACAGTGGGTGGGGGAAAGTGAGGATACTTTTTCCCCGAAAAAATTATAAAAATTCAAACGCGTGTGAAAACGTTAATGAATTCTTGTTGTGACTAAATTCACTGTGGCCTTGGAGATTGGAATTTTATTTTGAAATCTGCTGTACGATTTTTTTTTTTTTCACCATTTCATTAAACATAGTTTGAACATCAGGGTGTAATTAGGATAGATAATGTGGGGATTTTTTGAATTTTTAAATTAATGTTCGACGTTCCATAAAATGGTGCAACAAGTTTCAAAGGGTCGTCATCCCCCGAAATAAATAGTATTTGAAATATTTTTATTAAAATAAAATACCACTTGAAAGTTTATTTTATTTGACAGTGGTGTATACAAGTATGCTGAAATTTATATTTATATTTCAGACATACGAGTTTGGAATTATTGATTGAAATAATAATCGTTTAGGTGTATTATTTCCCAAGTAGTCGTGTGAAGTCAAATAAATTTCAAACGATATTTCAGTTGATAAAAAAATAAGTAATTATGTCAGATAAAAAAAATGAAACACCTTGTGGGATAATAATAATTTCTGTGAATATATTTATATTTTATTTGAAATACTATTTTTGTCAGCATTGCGCGTGGTATATACATTAGACAGATAGATAAGGCCAAGATTAGTCTTATTAGGATAGAAGCAATATCGCAATAGGCGCATGTAATAGCCGTCATAATACTCCTTTATGCTATTACATAATAGTTTCGGAAAACCTGTTGTTATAAATAACATTCCATGCAGTATTCAATATTGCACAACCGACCGGCGTTAATAGAAAAAACTCTTGTGTAATTGTTTTCCTTTCAGTGTGATATTAATGAAATATTTATCAGTGAGCGACGTTTTGTTCGACTTGACCCCTCGGGTCTTGCCAGTTTCTTCTGAGTGTCTTCTTTAGTAAACAGTGGTTATTGTACAACGGACATGGATGAGACAATGTATTCACTTGTCCAAAAAATCTGAAGACAGAATTATCACTAGAATTTCATCAGATATCACTATGTCGGATAATGTATTCACCAAACAAAAAAAATCTGAAGACGAGTTATCACTAGAAATTCATCAGACATCACAAATAATGTATTTATTTAACTAAAAATTCTGAGTTGTCACTAGAGTTATCACTAAATTTCACCAGGTTTGTCACTCGAACGTGACAAACGGAATTTGAGTGATTATTTTGCTGGTTATCTCCGTTTTTTCAACTTAATTTGCCCCCTGGTGTGAAATCAATACGATAGTAAAAAAAAAAAAACTGACGAGAAGATTCTTTTTTATTATCTTCTCAGTCATCGATAAATCATCAAGAGCATTTGTATTTATTAATTTTCATTACGAAGAATCGAAACTCGAAAACTTCGAATACGCGTTCCGTTAACGACGTTCTCTACAGTTTCCTGTTTCTTCCATTTCTTCGCCACGAGTGTTCGTAACTCGATTTTACAACTGAAAGAGCGTGCCGGCAATAGCTCTCGCGCCATTTTAAACAGAGGCGGGTAACGACGATGGAGAGAGGGCATTAAATTTAAAACACCGGCGACGAATGCATCCGTGGCGGATCGATTCTGCGATTGATAATGCAGTATCTATGTACGACTTGTTGGAGTAATAACGGAAGGGGGAGTGATCGATCAGAGACAGCTCCAGACAGGAGGAGAACGGGGGGAGGGCGTCGAATTGTCGTCCCCGTTCTCTCGTATTCATCGCACTCTAGGCTCTCCGTGTTGAAGTCAGCGATTCAGAGAAAGTGAGGAGTGACATTCTTTTCGCGCGTTCCCCGGTTTTTTCGTGTTAACGAAATTGTTTCCAGACGCTGCTTGCATTGCACGCGCGCACGTCGGCCAGGAAATTGGCCCCGAAATTTGTCGTCAGATTTTTTTATCCGTCAAATTTTTCAACCTGTTGCGTCATGCCTTTTTTTTTTTTCGTCTCGTTTCGTTTCGTTTTGCTTTTTTAAACACGATTGGGATAATACGCCCAGAACGTGTTCTTGTAATATATTGAGAGTGAACGCGGCTTTTTTTCGTTGCGTGGGGGGGAAAAAGGTACGAAAAACGGAAAACGGCAGAGAAGTGAAAACAAAACTGCTTGCGAGCGAATTATCGAGACTCTTTATGTTGCTTTATTTCGCGCGGTGAAAAGCGTCCATCCACATATATATGTGTGTGTGTGTGTATTTTTTTTCTAAAAGGAAAAAAGAAAGAAAGAAATAGAGATTTGTTTCGAGCGAAATTCGTGGAACGGTGCGGCAACGGAGACTAGAGGAGACCAAGGTCATTTAATCGCCGCTCATGGCTCTTAAACTTAACAAACGCGTCACCGGGTCGATTTGATTTTACGTAAGACCGATTTACTCTACCTCGTGTATCCCGCCATATATATGACAGAACGTAATAGTAATAGTACGTTTCACAAGCTCTGATTTAGTTTCGCAATCGATGCCGCGCATTTTTTGGAATTTAGTGCATCATCGTCGAGTTCACTCTGAACTTTCGACTCTGGATTAGGCTTGGGTTCGGTTTAGTAGAATTTCGATTTTATCTTCTGCTTCTTGTTGACAGTGATACTCTCGTTGATATTCTCGTTCGCTGAAACTAACAAGAACTGAGCCATTCTAAATGCGAACAGTTTTTCTTTCTCCGATGTCTTCGCTCATTGTGGCTACGAGAGAAAGTCGTTCGAATGGTCGCGGCCTATTTAACGATTGGTTCGTGCAACTTCAACGTCATTTTTTTTTTTTTTTTTTTTTTGCATATTGAAACCGTGGATAACAGTTTTCGAGTTGCGAAAAATCGATTTTCGAGGTACATAACCTCAACCTGATAGTCTTTTTGATAAATTTATTATTACATTCCACGTGATTTTGTGAAAGGTGAACTCTCTTCTTTGGCAAAGAAAAAAAAAACGAAGGAAAAAGAATGTAATGAAACAGCTAAAATAGGAACAACAGAAAAGTTATAACGGGGCCCGGGGAAACGGTACCGTGTCCTTCATGGAAACGAGCCTTCTACGAGACCACCGTGGCTCTATCGGCGTGAATCTTAAGGGATCTTTGTTTCTCGAGCACGTTATCTGGAGAACATATCTTTGTTCAGAAAGAGTATCGTGACATCCACTTCCTCCTGCTGTATAGTTTCTGAAGATATATAGTTTATCTAGACAAAAGCAGAATAGTTTTTACTTCTTTCAAAGTATATTTCAAATTTAATTAACACTGGAACTATACCGAGGACCAAAATTTATTTTTTTTTTAAATCGAGTCGAAAGAAAGCAGAATGCAAGAAATAGGAAAAAGTTTATAATGCGACAAACGAACTTTTATTCGTGTATTTTACAAAAATCATTCGAACGTTGTAAGTTTGAAAAATCACTCTAGAAAATTATAAATTGACAACTTGGGCTACTTTGACAATTAAATGTTTGCAACGCATTGTCGAAGAACGTCGAGCGTAAAATTTAAGGCTCTTTAAGCGGAACGCATTACCGGAGAATGTCGAACGTTAAACTCAAAGGCGTTTCTTCCTCGCGCGGCGTTGTCAAAGATGGACGCGCGTAGCGAGATAAAGCATCGAGGTCCCGATTCGCGAAAGAGGCGCATTAATTCGGGACGAGAGTCAAAGCAGCGTTGTGGCGCGAGCACGGGAAAAAGAAACCCGCCTGTTTCGTTATTCGAGTCGAGTAAAAGTATGTACTCGCTTTGGCGCAATTAACAAGCTCCGCCAGCAATCCTTGCTTCGAAGCTCGCGTGCGTGTTTATGCATACACGCGCGCCGCTACCTGTACACTATCGTACAGGGTATCTCCAATTAGATGCTTGCTCGATGTCTTCGTACAGAGGCAAAACGGTTCCATTCCTAAACAATCGTTGCTAATAACCATCTGTCGGTAAATGTGTGAAATCACAGTCGAACGACCGTTTCGAACGCTGAAATTCGACTCGCGTAACTTCATAACTTTAACGAGCACAGGTTTATTTTTCGTATACCTGTTTCTACGGGGACGAATGAAAACACGCGTGCCCTTCAAAAAATCGATGTAATCGCATTCTAGAAGCAACTTGATTACACGCTATTAACTTATAAATTTCGTTGCCTGATGTTGTACAGGTTAGGAGGTATTTATTATATTAACGTTATACAACACATGCAGCTTGCTTGGTAAAGTAGGATAAATACGGAGCACCGTTTCCGAGTACATGGTCGCGATGCGTTTGATCATATTTTCAAAAATATATCTCCGTCGCATTACGATTTCTACGTTGCTTTCATATTTACTGAGATTATTTGCGAAATTCATAGAGATACAGGTTTGAGAAAATAATTGGCCTCGAATATATGTTCATATTACATATTTTGTTAATAAAAGTCAGCAAAAATTCCCGGGTAAAGATTGTGAAAGTTCTTTAAATTTTGCTCACAAAATCGTAAGCTGCCGTAACACAGTGTTCGACACATATACATGTAAGAAAATGGCGAGAGAAAGATAATAACTTCGTTCTGAATGAAAATTTTTGAAAAAATTATTTGTTAAATTTGGGTCAAATTTCTTATATCGAAAAATAAATTTTTGCACAAGTAAATACGTATTTTTTATAAAAACAGTAATTTCAAGAATTTGACTCTGATAGACTTATTCCTAAAGACTCTATAGATGTTGAAAGATTCATTATAAATGTTAAGAAGTGACATCGCGTTACTAACATTTCACGACGTAAGATTTTTTAGATATTACACTTCGAATATCCAACCGAGAACACTGTGCCCACGCACAACTTCTCATTTTGTTAAATAAAAAACGATGTTGAATAAGTTTGCTCGCGTCCTACAAAACGTTCCGCACGGACTTCCTTGCGCAAAAAGAGAAAGCGAATAGCGTCTTCCTCGCCTTCTGTCACCGAACGTGCGTGTTCTCTCTCTCTCTCCCCTGTCGACTGCGCGACAAACGACACGCGTTATATGTGGACGTGAACAGCCCGCGCCGCCTTCCTCGGGGTCGCATGCGCGCATGCGCGAGCCGCGCGCGTAGTACACACGGCCGGCCGTGACGTCACGCGACGCCCGATAACACTTTTGTTGTCGTCGGCCTGTCGTCGTACGTATGCCGCGATTACGCGTGACGCACAGTCGCGCACAGTTCAGTCCCGGACACCGACCGTATCCGCCGTGTGCCGAACCGCGGATTCCATTTTGTTCGTCTGATCTCGCCGTTTCGTATCACGACTTCGTACTCGCGCGCACGGAAGAAACTTTCCAGTGTGACGTGCTCGCCAATTCATTCGTCAAGTGTTTAAAGAGCAAATATTTTTACGTCACGTGGTTGATCAATTGGGTTTCTGACGTTTCTTTCTCTCGCGGCCGAGGAGGTACGTGGATAGTGCAGTGAGCGTACACTGAGCCGACAGTTACAGTTCCGCATTAGTTCGAAAGTGAGTTCCAATCGTCGACTTACGTTAATGATATCCTCTTTTCAGCGATGTGTAATAAATATAACGATATATACCGACGATTCAACAGAGATTCTGTCACGTCGAGTTATTATAACTGCTTCTTCTTTATTATATTATATTCGCGATTGTAACGGATGTAATGTAGTAATATAGCGGAACTTTGCCCGTCAAAGTGATAAGAGAGCAAAGCGTAATCTGTAATGAAGGTTTGGGTTTAATTGTAAGTACATTCAACGAACATGTTGCGCGTGGCTGTTTTTTTTCTTTTTCCATGAACGTGAAAAGGGGGGGGGGGGATAGAGTATGTACCCTACGTCGATAAAACAGAACCGACGAAATTTTTGAGTTGTTAATTGAACTGTTATCGGCTGGATTCTTACCCGTGCGACACGACGGTTGCGTCACATCGCCCCGCAGGAAGTGGAAAAGTACCGCGCGGGGGCAATCTGTCGCGTGTAGCTTCTTTTGTTCGCGTAGAGAGAACGGAGACAAGCGCGCCCGCGCGTGAACCGTACGGCGATCCGTTGTGAAGAGGGAAAATAAAGCGAGCGTTGATAATCCAAACAGTACGTGTAAACGAACCAGAGCCGAGTGTGATAAGCGACAGCGTATCGCTGATACACGATAAGAAGCGTAACCGAACGCATAATGACACAAAAGATCGTCGGTGCTTTAACACTAGAATCATCAAAGTGTTCAAAACGATGGATTTATAATTTCAGTTAGATGTAAAACAATGCATTTTTTGAAAAATAAAATTTTCCAACAACACTTTAAAGCTTGCTGCACGATTTTCTTTTATCGTTTTGTTGAACTTTGAACTTTGAACCACAAAAGTTCCAAAAACCCTCACATTTTTCAAAGTGAAAAATTAGTCTATCTTTGTAGGTTGAAGTTCAATAAAATGGCAACGAAAGGGGAAAGAAAACGTACGGCAAGTTTTGAGGGGAGACTTCAACCCTCGAAACGACTAGGCGAATTTAGTTACGAACGTCCTCGCACGCGCTTTAAAATTTTTGCAATTTCTAAGAAAAACAAGAAAAAGAAGTTTAAAAGGAAGCTTCAAAATAAGACAAAGCGAGATTATTACATGACTTGTTTTTATCAAGTTATAACAGTTTCCAAGTGTCGGCAATTTTTCACCATCGTTCGATCATGCTGCTTACCGCATATATAATATATGTAAAGTGTGTAAAAGCGTTTCGGCGATTTCCTTTTAGTTGCACATTCCTTTCAAGGCCCCTGCGAGGAACGGACGCAATGACGTCTGATCCGGCTGTCCCCGTGCACCCACTTTCTACTTGGAGCAGTTTTAATATGGAGCTCCTCGATAACTCTTTTCCTTATTTACATTTTATACGGTTTCCACACGCGAACCGTGCACTTGACAAATTTTCAAACACGATCTTCTCGAAAACGGAAAAAATCCTGCAAAAAATTTCATTTATACCTTTTTGTCACGTCTGAAGAATTATCTGACAGTAAGCTCCAAGTACACTTGATAAATTTTCATACTTGATGTTCTTCGAAAACAGAGGTTTTCGTGAAAAAATTTTGTTCCTCCTGTCCGAGTCATTTTTTTACGTTGTCTTCCACTCGGTTATGGAACACCTGTATATAATATTTTCTTGAGCGATGTGATTCACACGATCCTATTATCTTCTCCGTTATCGGAAACACCTCGACAACCTCTTGTTTTCGTCGCTAGTTTGAGAACGGCTCCTGAGGAAAATTCAAATGCGTTTGAGAACGAACAGGGATCCTCAAAGTATTTTAAGTGTATGCGTGTGTTTTGGAACGGCGCGTTTAAATGGATCTAATTCCGGCCGAGGTCGGAGCTTCGTTTAATTGCCAAACACTGCGCCACGGTGATGTAAGATCAGATGTAACGGCCGATCGAAGTGACGTAGTTTTTAAAATGACTCTCTCGTAAGAATTGGACGATACCCAGCGAAATTTGGGGCTAGAAATTGTCGCCCGTTCATCGCGATCAATCTAGACTTGCTTGGACTAAAATGTGTGAACGAATTCGAATCCGAACGATTCACGTTAGAATTGTAAACATTTATATTTTCTTCTGTTTTTCTCTTTCCAAATCTTCATCTTCGATCTATTCAACAAATACAGTACTTTTTTCCTTTTTTTCCTAAATCTTCGTCTCCGATCCTTTTCAACAGATACAGCATGCTCGTAATTGAACTTAATAATACGCACGCGTCGGGGAAACTTCCGTCTTCCACTTGGATTTGCACGCGTCGCATAAATAACGTCGATCGTATTGACAGTTACGTTGTTTCAAATAACTGTACCGGATAAAAATGACGAAGGAGCAAAGAGAAAGAGAAGACGTACAAACGTACGAGAAAACGGGGGGAGTACGTGCATGTACACTCTCGCTCAAAAGTTTCGGGACGCGTTTGTTTTTTTTTAATATTCAGTGCTCATCAATACAGTATAATACAATACAGTACAACATGTATGCAATATATAATAATTGTAAATGATACAATATATTAACATATCAACAGAGTCTGTTTTATATTCATTGTATTCAATTATATCACATCGTACATTGTGTACAATACATTAGTATATATATATATGAACAGTAGTTTGTTTTATATTCGTTGTATTTAATTATATCGTGCATTGTACATTGTGTTGTACAATTTATATTTATCGTACTGTCGTACGAATGTAGTAGTACTCGCCCTAGGATTTCTGAGCGAAGCTGTGTTTACGTGTTGTGTACGTACCTGTAGTACGTGCGAGCAAACTTACTGGTAGGAGAAGGGAGAGGACCGACGCGCACGAGAGTCAGCGACTTTTACAGGTTAGGTAACGTTTATCCGTGGTGGCTTTTTTTTTTTTTCTCCTTGCGGAGAAAGTTAGCTTAGATGCACTTCGAGCGTAAAATCGTCTATCATCGTGTATCATCGGGCCTTTCTCATTTCCTATATCCGAACTTAATTGAACGACCTTCTGACGATGGATTCCGTGCATCCTTGATTCTCGTAGTCGTGTATTGGACACACTATTGGAACTTGTCGAAAATAATCTACAAATTATAAAAAGGAGATAAATTTTTTTTTTTTTTTTTTTTTTC